AAAGGTGCGATTCCCATTACAAAGGGAAGTTTTGCATCTATTGTCTAATGAACCCACACTGAATAATGCCTCTTATAAAGTCAAGGCTCAAATCCAGGACTGGGAGAGCAGCACATACTCACATTAGAGCGTAGTGATCCCTCGGCGCAGCTAGCCCTGTCTGGAGAGTCAGTTCCCTGATTCTGCATGGTGGAGGTCAATAATTTACCACAATACATGGGGCGAGCACCAGGGGAGTCCTTGGGGTGGCTTGAGTCTGCTGCATAGCGAAGGGCGTTCAGAGGGTTACAGACTACATGGTCAGTCAATCAGATGTCCTTCAGCCACCTTTCACATGCCTCTCCCAGCAAGGACTGACTGATTGACCAACACTTAGCTCCCATTAAAGCCAGTAAGAATTTTATCACTGGGTTCAGGCTCAAGACACCCTTTTTTATTAAACACTTAAAGGAACTTCTAGGAGATTGTCAGCTCTTTGCAGATGGGGCCATCTTTTTGTTCGGTGTTTGTACAGCACCTAGCACAATTGGGTCCTGGGCCACACCTGGGCTCCTAGGCACTACTATAATACAAATAATAAACACCAATCGTTGTAGCAGGACCCATGTTTGGAAGGGCAGATCATAGGGGCTCAAATCCCATGTGGTATTCCTCCGGTGCCCCAAATATCACAGGAACCTCCCACCCCAAATGTCACTCACCCCTAGCCTCCGTGGGACTAAGAACATGCAGTAAGGAGGAGGCAGAGATCCACATCTCTCCCCTGCCCAGAAGGATCAGGCATAGCCCAGCTCTGCTCTTCACAACAGACCCGTTCTATAAGTTATTCCAGCACAAGGGATTCCCTGCAGCTGGCCTCGTGTTTGGTGTGTGTGTTGGACAGGAGTTGCGTGATTACTTAATTTTTAATGCATTAATTATAGTTGATTGCCCACTTCCACCCTCACCTCCCAGGAAGTGCAGCTTTAACCTGTTCTCACATTGGCTGAGAATCTTTTTTTCCCTCCACTGTATTGCTAGCCACGGCTTGCACCACCTCCCACTGTCAGCAGTGTGTCACAGCCTCAATTAGGCTTTCAGATGCGCCTCTCTTACTGGGTCGCCACAGGCCTGGTACAACTGGCGGAAGCAGCAACAGTTTCCGGCTGTCCCCAGAAGGAGGTGCTGCTTCCTATTCATCGCTGCTTATGGGCAGTGCTATCGAAGCAAAAAGATAAGCTTCACACCTCTGATGGCTGGGAGCAAAGGGGTGGTTGGTACAATCCAGCTGTAGGCTGACTAGGGTTTTAAGGTACCAGGTGTAAAGCAGATGGGGAAGGAGGTAAGTGATGTACCTGCTGGTAGATTCTTCTCAGCACAGCAGGGAGGGGATCATCTGCATTCACCTTTCCAAATAAAGCCACTGGCACTTCCTCACCTGCCAGCACCTCGGCCAAACTCCTCCTCCTTCCCTCTGCACACTCAGCTAGTCACAGACACTCAATATTTCCACAAAGAAATGCCAGGTATTTACAGAGACTCAGAAGAACAGCCCTGCACGTGGCCTGGAGCACCAGAGTCAGACAGGAAGGGCCTAGTGACGGGTGCACCAGAAATACCCAGGACATACAGGGCGATTTCCACCCCCCCCAATTTGTTAGAGTTATTTTTATTAAAGGTGTATTTGGTGCCAGCCCGACAGCCCTGGCAAAACGGAGTGGTCTCTCCACAGGGCAGGTACAGCACGGGCAGTGGCAGAAGACGCTACACACACATGCAAACCCTGAGCCCCAAAGACCCTAGTAGCCGGGAGAAGATATTCCAGTCTCCATGGCACACCAAGTCCTTGGGCTCACTGCTGCAACTTATTTCACTAAGGACATCAAACTGCCATCAGATGGAGACAAGTTGTCGCTCCCTGCCAGCTTGGCTGGATAGTTAGATGACACGGAGGCCAAAGGAGCTGAATCCCTATATGCCAAGGCCCTGAATTATCTAGTTCTCCTTTGTATCCATTCCCTTCCTCCCTCCCCCCCAATCTAAGCACATCAACAAAAAGGCCCGGCCAAACCTTGCTTTCTTTTATGATCTGATCATCTTTGTCTATATGCTTAAGTTCAGATCCAGAGTTTCTTTAGGGTGAGAGCGATGCTATGAGACGGTGGTTTCCTTGAAAGCATTTTGGTATGAAAATTGCCAGGCTGAACAATACCTGCCCTTAGCAGTTAGAGATTATATTATAAATACAAGATATAGATATATACAAACACGCCCCTTCTTATCTTTACCTAGTATTTAAATTATATTGTATGACTACTTACATAGAATATATCTACTTTATACTACTGATTCTTCTAGAGGAGAGTTATACTCCGGCCGCTGAGGGGGGTTATGAAGCATGGCACATGCTGGAGATCCTTCCTAACACTATCCTTATGGTGGTTTATTAGCATTTATCCATTTTAAGAGCTAAGAAAGGACAGACTGGTGTGTGGATAAGGCCCAGGCCCAGGAATCCGACCTGGGTTTTACTCACAGCAGCCCATGACCTGCTCTGTGACCTTGGGTAGGGTGACCAGACATCCGGATATTTAGTTGTTTGTCCAGCATCCCGACCAATGTATGCCATTTGTCCCGACATTTTGCACTCTAGCTTTTTTTTTCCTTCAGCGGCGCCACCCCCCCCAATGTCCCAATATTTTGTTCTGGTCACCCTAACCTTGGGTAAATCTCTTCCCTCTCTTTTCCCATCTGCAAAATGGGGGTCATGATACCGGCCTAACTCACAGGAGGCGGAAAGGCAGAAGAGTGCCTGGAGAAAAGTGTGAATGTTTTGTCACAACAGGGTTTGCACTGGGGGGGAGAAACACCACAAACGCCTTTAAATGGCTCCTGAAGACAAGCAGCATATAGTGTGACCCAGCTATTGCTTTCTAGAGAGGCATTCCCTGCATGGTACAAGTGCCTGCGTGTCTGGGCCTGCTCGACCGAGCCATGACCAGTTATCTATAGAGGCAGCAACCTGGCTACGAGGTCTCCCCCAAGGCAGCACCTCCATTGCAAAGTACCTCAGCCACCACCACTACAACGTGCCTCCTTAGAGCCACCTCACAAACACTCCCTCCCCACACACAAGCAGGGGGTATCAGAGCCGGGAAGATGTTCTCTGTTGCAGCATTAAAAACCCTGACTCACCACAGATGGGCAGCAAGATGGGGGACAGGGCCACGGCCACTTGCCTCAAAACTATCCAATTTAGACTGACTCTCTTTTCTGGGGGAGGAACGGACCGCCACAGCCCTGCCACCTATTTACCATTGCTCTTATTTATGATAGACAAAAGGAAGACCCACTGGGACCTCACACTTTTCTTCCCTGCCCTCTGTGCTCGCCATTTCCCTGTTTGTTAATTCATTAGCACTCTGGGTCAGCTGCCCAGAACTAATCAATCTGAACTGGATTTTCTGTGGAGGTGGGGGTTTTTTGACAAGCAATGTTGGATGCCTCCAAAGCCATGTTTCTGGGCATCTCCCTTCTCTTCCCCCGGCACACCACCCCCCGTGCCCCAAAATATTGATTTTCATGCCTGAATCCAAAATGACACTCACTGTGCCCTTTCTGTGTATTCAACCTAATTTACACACGAAGTTAACCCAAACCTGCATGGTTACTTACATAAACACATACACAAATAAGCATGTTATTTTGGAGATTCATATAACTAAGTGTGTTTTGCTTGGGGTCCCGTCCCCCCGAAAAAGCAAGAGCATGAAAAATATTGCAAATGTGCTGCATGGCTGAAAATTATGCATCTAATTAATGACTCATTAGTACTGTGACTGTGTGACTAGGCACAAAGTGTGTAATATACAGCCAGCATATTATCTTCCAGTGTATGTGTGAGATATGGATGTGTTGTACATGCATACACACAATGCAGTTGCTAAAGACACACATGATGCCCTCCAGAGTCAGAAGGGGAAGCAGTTATATTTGGGGGAGCTACCGCAGCGAGTTGGAGGGAAAAGGAGGCAGTTTATGTAACGTAACGTACTGGCTCTACGCACGCTATCGATGGATCATATATTGCGCGCAAGGCCTCTTTGGAACTGTAGCTCCAGCAATCACATGGTCAAAGCCCATAGATACAAAGTAGAAGCCAAAAAAATAAATTCAAATCTATCACAGGCCATTGACTTAAAAACTTAAACTGAAGTGAGAGGCAGGCGTAGGGCAGAAAGCGAGAGCACCCGAGGGAGCAATTGGATGTTTTGAAACTGAAAACTGTTGAATTATTGGGGGGGGGGGGGGAGAGATTAAAAAAATAACAATCCACTAACCAGAGGGGAAATGAGCCCCTCCAGGCTGAGGGTAAACACTGAGGGGGGGAGGAGGCAGCAGAGAGGGCCATGGATACGTCCTTCCACAACCAAAGGACTGCAACTGGCCACTCCAGCTAACACAGAGTGAAACCCACACCCCCTTGCGCCCACTAGCCCCCCGGGGGCGGGGGGGAAGGCTCAAACCCACTGGGGGTGGGGAGAAGGGGCTGGGGGCAGTTCCACCTCCACATCCTCTCTAGTGTTCTAATGGGGCTGATCCCTTCCCAGGCCAGGCCCCCCCACCCAAGCAGCTCAAGTTCCCAGGCAGAGTGGGAAGGGCTGCCCCAGGCAGCTGCAGTTTCGGGGAAGGGATTGCGGGGGGGGGGCCTCTTCCCCCCAAAAATACTGGGGGGAGGGGCCCCCGGGGACGGGCGCGCTCAGGGGGGGGGGGGGGGTGTTGGTGGAACCTCCTCCCCACCCAGAGAGATCAGCTAAGGGGGAGTGGGGGCCCTACAGGGGATCCCCTCCCCACCCAGAGCGATCAGCTGGGGGGGAGTGGGGGCCCCATGGGGGAGCCCCTCCCCACCTAGAGCGATCAGCTGGGAGGAGGAAGAGTGTGGGCCCCCGGAGCGGCGGGGGGGGGGGGGGCAAAGCGCCTTACAGCAAAGAAAGACCCTCCCGGGCTGGGGGGGCGCTTACCTGCTCCGTGTTCCGGAGCGCTCGGCCGGCTGCGGGCGAGCTGGGGGTGCCGGAGCCGGTGGGGGTGACAGGGGCAGCAGGAATGCGGGGAGCGCGGCTGGCTCCGGAATCCGCGCACGGAGCCAGGCGCAGGGAAGGGAAAGTTTGTGCAAGGGAGGAGCAGAAAGTTGGGAGTCAATCAGGAGGCAGCTGGGCTGGGCTGCGCCCTCCCCCCCCTCCCTTCACATGGCCTCCAGCCCCGGCCGGCCCCCCCCTGGCCAGGGACCGGGGCCCCCCCCCCCCCCCCCGACCGGCTCCGCCAGCCGGAGGAGGGGGGTTGGGCCCTCTCTCGTTGGAAGGGGGCTGGGGTATTGGGGCTCTGTACTGGAAATGGGCTGGGATACTGGGGTTCCCTTCTGCTGGAAGGAGGGGACAGGGGTCCCCTTGTTGGAAGGGGGCTGGGGTATTGGGGGTCGCCTCTGCTGGAAGGAGGGAACGGAGGTCCCCTTTGTTGGAAGGGGGCTGGGTATTGGGGTTCCCCCTGCTAGAAATGGGCTAGGATACTGGGGTTCCCTTCCGCTGGAAAGAGGGGACGGGGGTCCCCCTTGGAGGAAAGGGGCTGAGGTGTGGGGGATTGGGGTTTCCCTCTGCTGGAAAGGGCTGGAGCATTAGGGGGCCCCTTGTTGGAAGTCTGCTGGAATATTGGGGTTCCCCTCTGCTGGAAGGAAGCTGGGCTATTGGGGCGCCCCTCTAGGGGCAGGGGAGGGTCAGACGGGAGTGACCCCTCCTAGGGGATAGGCTATAAGGGGTCTCCCCTCTGGGGAAGGGTAGGGGGATCCTCTCCTGCATGGGAGGTGGGGGTTGGGGCTCTCCACGCTGGAGAAGGGGCAGCTCTCCTGCCGGGGGGGAGGTCAGGGAAGGACCCAGGGGAGTGTAAGGGGGCAGAGACCCGCCCTGCCAGCGGGTGTGGGGGGGCCCAGGCCTGGCCATTGCCCCGGGGCTGCTGCTACAGCAGCAGAACAGCTCGCGCCTGCCCCCGAATCACAGCTTCGGACTGCGCTGCTGACATCAGACTTGGAGGCGCGCCCGACCCCAGTTCCCAGCCAGAGAGACGGGCTCGCTCTCCAGCCCACGCCTGCCCCGGGCTACGCCAGGCCCCGGTGCTTAGCCTCCTCCTGCAGCGCCCCCTAGGGGAGCCAGCCGGCCGGGGCTGGAGCTAGCAGCCTTGGAGCCAGAGTGGAGGGAGGCGTTTAGCTGTTCAAGCCTTGGTTCCCACTCTCCGCCCCTTACCCAGGTTTCAGGCTGGGGGAAGCTGATCCCGGGGGCCTTGTCATTTCCCCTGGCATCTGCTCTGACCCCTTCCGCTTCAAGGTTAAACTCCTAGGGCCTGGCTCCCCCCAGTGCACCTGGGGTAGGGCACCTGTGCGTATCCCATTTTGCAGCCACTGGGCACAAGTAAATGGCACCCCAATGTGGAACCAGACCCCTGGCTTGGTCCTCAAAACTCTGCACTGATAAGCTCCCACCTATTTATCTACTTAGCTGTTGGGCCCCCTCCGCTCTTCCCTGCACACCACTGAGGATAAACCCTGGTCAATTCTGTTTACCGACCCACTTCTCATTTGGGGATCATGGCATTTGTTAGTTTACCAACTTCTTTTTATTTTACCATTACGCCAGTGCAGGACACCTAGTCTTGTCTTCATGTTCTCCTCCCCTCCCACACCCCATCTTACTAACATATCACTATGGACCCAGGTTTTCAAGGAGCACTTAGGGCCATATTGCCTAGTGCCCAGCACCCATACGTGGGGCTGGATCTTCCAGGGCCCAGCTCCCATTTAGGCACTTTAATAAAGGACCAAATTTTCAAAAGCACACAGCAGCTCCCACTGTGGGACTGATGGACAGATTTTTCCAAAAAGCTCAGCCCCCAGTGTGCTGGGCTCTTCTGAAAACCCGGCCACTTATTTTGGTGCCTAAATAGGAGCTCAGGTCTTTGGAAAATCTGGCCTTGGTTGCAGGTGCTGAGCACTTGGAAATACAACCCTTGCAGTCTAATTAGATTGTAAGGTCTTTGGGAGCAGGGCATGGTGCTGGAACTAGGGGTTCTGGGGGCACTGCAGCACCCTCTGCCTTGAAGTGGTTTCCATCACATACAGGGTTTACAGATTGGTTCAATGGCTCTCAGCACCCCCACTATACAAATTGTTCCTTCAGGGTAGGGACTGTATGTTTATTCTGTATTTGTACAGCCCTTAGTACAATGGGGTCCTGGTTCATGACCGGCGCTCTAGGCACTACCAAAATACAAATAATAATTGTAAACCCCTTCCTTGTAGTTGGTAAGAATTCACAGTTAAATGACTGCTCACAGATTGTGTTTTTCAGGCCACGATTTCTTGTCAGTTTATAAGACTTGGGTTTTGCTTTTTAGTTCTCATTTAGAACTTGTTTTATTTGAGTAATTCAGGACTAGATAAGCACTACCAAGGCCTGTTAAGCTACAGCCATCCCGCACATTCAGCAATCTAGCATGATGAATAAAACGGCATCAAACTCTCCTGCCCTTGGCATGTGCCTGTTGCTAAGCATCTGGCCCAAGCAGTGTAATAAAGGCCTAATCCTGCAAAATTTAAGAACCTGAGTCATTTTGTGCATGGGACGAGCCACGGGACTATTTTTGTGTGTAAAGTTAAACACGTGCATGACTGGTTGGGGGCCTTATTTTGTTTAGAGAATCAGTTTGAAACTTCTGTGTTGTTTGGATCTGCCCCTTATAGAATGAGGCAAATTCAGATGCATGGTTTGGTCCAGTTGTGTGTCAGAAGTCCATAATACTTGCCGCTACTATTCCTCTTCCACTGAGGGGAAACAGCCACTTCCATTTCCAAATTATAACATAAAAGAGCGGCAAGCAATAAAGCCATAAATAATATTTCCCTATGGCTGGAATGTCCGAATCTAGGCAAAGCACCAAGACTAGCTACAGCATTGCAAAAATACCAAACTTGTCCTGAATCGATTAAAAAGATTGTATTTTATGTCAGTAACAAAACATTGGCTTCCCAGTTAGTCCTGGTAGTTCATGGCAAAGAGGAAGAGACTACTCTAATCATCCAGAAGGCCAGAGTTCAAGATTGGCTGCCAGAGGATTCCCTTCCTCCTGTAAGGATTTAAATTACAAAATATATTAAAATAGACAAACCAGAGTAAACAACACAAAAACACAGCCATAACGTTTAGCCCTGGTTAAAAGTATTGGAGTGAGATACCTGCTTGCTAAGAAACAGCATGGTCTAGTGGGGGCAGACACTAGCTTGGTGCTAAGGAGACCAGCGTTCTAATCCTGCCTTTATCACTAACCTATTGGGTGAGTTTAGTCGCTCACATCTCCTCTCTGGGCTTTTGTTTCACCCTTTGTTTGTCTGATCTATTGAGTCACTAACTTCTTCAGAGCAGGGACTATGTGTATGTCCAGCACCCAGCCCAATGGTGCTACTGTAGCAGTAATAATCAAGTGCTTGTCCATTCACAGAGCAGGTACCGCACGATCAATGGCAGGACAAGCTTGCTCTCCCCACGTACACAGTCCCTCTGCCCTACGCCTGTTTAACTCCATTTGTTCCAATGGCATTCCTCCGCATGGACACCAGTGTGAGAGAACCAGGCCTCTCCCCAACCTGCCTCAGGCTTATGGAGATGCCACCCCTGTTCATTCATATATTTCCATGCAGTGGAATAACTCCTGTCCATCATGTTGAACCATTAACACAGGGAGTGCTGGATGGCATTGTGTGAGGACACTAATGCACATAGGCCTTGTGGTCCAGGGTTTAACCAATGGCAGGAAGGAGCCTGGCCAGTGATGATTGTGAGAACAGGGGGTGGTGTGGGAGCATCACCAAAAGGGGGCAAATGACGAGCAGGAGCCATCAGGAGAGAAGTTTGGGCAGCGCAGGGGTAGAACTGAGGACCAAGATGTAGGCTGGGCAAAGCAATGAGAAAAGAGGCCTGTTCATTGTCTATGGCCCACAATATGCTGAGATTGTGCAGCATCAGGACCCAGGCACAGTGGCAGGCCAATCACAACCAACTCTAGCGGTGGGCAGGCTGTGAGCATCAGGGCTTGAACTCAACCCCTCCCGATTACTAGTACAGCTGAAATTTGCCTGATAGGCAGAGCGTCTACTGGGGACTCCAACAACAATGTTCTGGGTGACCCTGTGGCCAACTGGCTAGAAGAGCAGGAGCCTTGATTAACCAGCACCTGGGAGGTAAGGCTTTACCCTACTTTAGGGTGTAATATTTTTTTTCCACTTTCCATTGCGTGCAACTGTCAGAGTTGTGAAACTCAAATGCATCTCCCTACTGGTTCATTGGACAAACAATGATGCTTCCCCCCCCCCATGCTCTGTGTTTCTAATGGGCTAAGGAGGCATGCAATTAACATGGCTGTGAGTATTTCGCTTGGGGTGAAATCTGTAAAACCCTTTAAAAGAACAAATATTTTAAGCCTAAATGAAGTTGATAAGGTCTCTTATTTTTTGATCTTTCCCTGCAGCAAACATTCCTTTTGCCCCTCCCACCATCTTCACGCATTGGTCTTTCTTTGTATCCATCACACTCTCGGTGGCACAAAACAGATGCACATTTCAACTGCTTCAACCCTTCTTCTCTTCTGTTGTCTCTGGCACTAACAGCCGGAGCAAACAAAGGACCAACTATCTCCTGCCCTACTAAATTGTTTTCAGTTGTTTCTTGTACTGCAGTTGGTTTCAGTTTTAATTATTTGTAAGTGTAACCGAGCTTGGGATTACTGGTGCGTGCTTTAATTGTTGTTGGCTGCATGCATATGTTGCTAGAATTGTGCGTATTGAAGTAATTCTGAAAGGTGCTCATTGTTTATGTACGGGGGGTTCTGTGTTTCAGTTAGCTTTGTGTTTGCTCTCTGTGGTAGTGTTACAATAATTGTTTAGGTTGTGTTGGGCTGGTATTTGGATTAGGTAAAACAATATTTTTCTGGGGATCAGAGGCAATAATGGGCAAAACTGAAAAGGTTCAGATGTTTGATTTGGACGGTACCCACCAAAAACAAAAACAAAAAAAAAAACCAACTCTAGGCAAAGTTTTGCACCAGGCCTTTTAATGA